ACTGTCACTCACTCACTGACTGTGCAGAACCTCTGTGCTCACTGTCACTCACTCACTGACTGTGCAGAACTCCTATACTTGCGGTCACTTACTCACTGACTATGCTCAACCCCTTTGCCTGCTGCAACTGACTGACTGCAGTGCACTTTTGGTGCTCCTTGGTCTCATGCTGTGACTGCAGTCACTGAAGTTCCTAATTTTCTTACTGTGTGTTAACATGTTCCACTAAAGTCTTCATGGCAATACTGTGGCAAACAGGAAGAAAGGCTAATGGATCAGCTTAATGATGATCAAAGCTCACCTGGACGCATCGCTTTGCCTTGTGCTAGAGCTCCTTTCCGATCAACTTCTTGCCATTTCCTAACCAAAAAACGTAATCTACAAATCAGGAAGACAAAAACACATTTAAGAATAAGAAATAACAAAAAATAAAATTTTAAAACAAAACAAAAAAGAATGTGCAAATAAGCTGGGCAGCAGTGGCTCATTTCTATAATCCTAGCTACTCCGGAGGCTAAGATCTGGGGGCAGCAGTTCAAAGCCAGCCTAGACAGGAAAGTCTGTGAGATTCTGATCTCTAATTAAATACCAAAGAGTTGTGGCTCGAGTGCTATCCTTGAGCAAAAAGCCCAGGGATACTGCCCAGGCCCTGAGTTCAAACTCCAGAACTGGCATACAAAAAAAGAGTAGCGCAAATATAAAAGGCACAGTACCATCCTAACATGACTGACCAGCAATTGCCCCACTGCCCACAGTACACACAGAGCACCACTGTCTGGGTCAGTCAATGGGACCAAGATAGGCACACACAGAGACTGCTGGCCAAGCTGGCACATGGCACACAAACTTTCCCAAAGCCACAGCCAACACCCAGATGAAGCCACCTTTGTTCCATATATATTTTGGCCCATGCAACTGGGCCAAAATTTCACCAAAGCTTAGTCTAGTTTGATCAGACCCCAGTTCAAATTTGTCTGTGCCAGCAGTAACTAGGAAAAGCACACTGCTCCCACCTGGTCTTCCGTGTCTTCTGGGCTTCAGCCTCATTCAGATACTTAGCAACAGTTATGCACAGCACAATCTGTCTCTGTCTTTCCCTCTCCCTCCAGACAGGGTCTCCCTATGTAGCCCAACTGGCCTTGAGCTCAGGGGGTCAGTAGGCAGCACCAGTGGATTAAGGAAGTAGGTGGTCAGCATGGTATGTATGAGGGGCCCTGATGGCCCTGGTAGCGTGATCTGCAGACAAGGAGCATATGATAAGCACCTTCACAGCCCCTCAGAGGCAGCCCCCTCATGTGGGCAGAGGCCAACTGACGGAGGGACTACTGGCCTCGCCTCTTCATGAAGAAGGCCTGGGAAGCAGCCTCTTGGCCTGCTCCCCTTTGCCCATCACGCACTCAAGCACCACCTGGAAGGGAACATTCTCCCACAGATTTGGATGGACAGATGGGTATGTGGACAGTGGCCTAATGTCAGGACTCAGATGTCCTGAGGCTTAAGCAGGCCCAAGCCCAGCCTCCTCCTGCCCCGTCCACCCTGCCAGGCCTCTCCTATCCCTCTCTGTCGGCAGCCACCTATGCACATTCCCTAAAGCAGTCTAGGAGCCTGGCATGGTCTTAGGAAGGAACCTGTGGGCAGCAGCAGGAAGATACATGGTACTTGGGGAAACGAATGGGTTAGAAATTCAGCAAACTTAAAACAATACCATGACATGAATTTTTACCACTGCTACTTTTGAAATAAAACTTCCTATAGCACGAAGCTATATTCATTGCAGAAAGGAGCCACGTGCAAATGGCCAGGGAGCACAAACAATGCTTCCAAAAAAAACCTAGAGGATGGATGTGAGGTGGACAGGACTTGGACCACAAGGCCCTTGGTGGCTGGTCAGGTCCCAGAAGTGCTTAGGCTCAAGGCTGGTACACTCTCAGTGCCAAGCATATTTTCATGCACCTGGACTCCTCTTCTAGGCCACAAATCTAACCAAAACACATAAACACTGCCAGGCATTTTATTCATCCATCAGAAAGAATACTATGTCATCTGTAAAGAAATACAAGGACTTGAAAAAAATTACACTAGGTGAAACCAGGCTCAGAGAGACAAATGGTGCACATTTTCTCTCACATACAGAATTAGATATAAATTAGAAATATGTGTAAAAACAAAGCTGGGCACTGGTGGCTCACGCCTGTAATCCTAGTTACTCAGGGGGCTGAGAGCTGAGGATCATGGTTTGGAGCCAGCCCAGATAGTAAACTCCATAAGACTCTCACCTCCAATTAACTACTCAGAAGAAGCTGGAAGTGGCACTGTAGTTCAAATGGTAGGAGCGCTATCCTTGAGCACAAAGAGGCTCAGGGACAGTGCCCAGGCCCTGTGTTCAAGCCTCAGGACTGGCAAAAAACCAACAAAACCCCCCACAGAAACCAAATTTGCCAAGCTAAATATGATTTTTAAACACCATTCCGTAACGCCTGTTGACAAAAAAAAAATCCTGGAACAAAACTTACTAGGAGCAAATTGGTCCTTATAATAACAAAACTCGAAATCTTTAGCTTCAGAAATGACAGCTGTAGGAGCTGGGAAGGTGGCTCAGTGGTAGAGCGCTTGCCTTGCATGCCTGAGGCCCTGGGTTCCATTCCTCAGCACCACATAGGCAAAAAGAAAAAAGCCGGAAGTGGCGCTGTGGCTCAAGTAGTAGGGCGCTAGCCTTGAGCTGAAGAGCTGAGGGACAGTGCCCAGGCTCAGAGTTCAGACCCCACAACCGGACTCCCCCCTACCCCCCAAAAAAAGAAATGACAGTTTTACACAATTTTTCTTTCTCTCTCTGCGATAGGGTCTACTATGAAGCCCAGGCTAGCCTCAAACTTGTAACCCTTCTAAATGCTGGGATTACAGGCATATACGATCATGCCTGGTTGCAGCACAACTCCTTAAAAACAAGTGTCATCTATATTTGTTTTAAGGCTTCCAAGGCCACTCATCTTGAAAACACTGTAGAGATTTGAGGAACAAAGCCACCTAAAACCCAAGAGCACTTGCTGTCCATCCTTGGGCTGCAACAGCCATTACCTAAGCACCGCAATGACCACCCTGACGGCAGTGCGGAACTTCGTAAAAGGACGAGATGCAGTGACTTTCTTATCTGCTTTGGAAGGAAAAACCCCCAAATGAGCAATCATGGAGAGGGTTTCTTGTTCAGAATCTTGGAATCCGCCAATCAGCAGTAAAAGATACTTCTTTTGATAAATCAGAGCTTTCCTAAAGCTCTCTGCTCTCAGATAATGCAAGTACAATTTTTCCATCTAAGAGAAGAAAGAAAGAAAGAAAAAAAAAACAGTAAGACTTAATCCAAGGAAACAGAGATATTCTGGCTGATCTTGCCATTCAGTACAACTGTACAGCTAGCTTTTGTGTTGGTTCTGGTTATGTCCCCCAGGCTGGCCTGAGGCCAAGCCCCTCCTGCCTCTGCTTCCTCCATGGAGGGATTACAGGTGTGTGTCACCGTGCTTGACTGTACAGTTCATTTTTACCAAAAAGCCAAATTACTTGTGTCTTCACAAACTATCACTAACTCAGCCAGAAACAGTCCTTTTGTTGAAAGATGAACTGGGTTTATCAGACCAAGTTCGATACAAATCTACTGTCCATAGCATCATTAAATGAACCCAGTGAAGAACCTTGGATTTCTCCCCAAGTAAGATACAAAACGGGCTCAGAAGTCTCATCATGCATTCCAGAGGACATGAAGTAAGAAATGACACCATGGGTAAAATCGGAATTTCACAGTTTGAGATCCAAAACTTGAAAATCACTTTTCCTTCTGGAGGGCTCCCAGCTAAGCCACACTCGATGCTACCAACCAGCTTATCACTGGAAGGGCTTTCTCTGGCTATAGAGACCATCTGATTCACTCAAGTACTACATTTTCCACCCTAAACCTTCACACAACCAGACCAAGTTTCAGATTCAAGTTGATGCTGTAACTTTCTTTCCTCAAGGTGATCACTTTAGTGATACTGCCTTGGTCACTTGGTAGCAAACACACCCAGGAAATGAGGTTACCTCACTGTTCACAAAAATGCTTTTGCTTGCAATTCACCAACACAGGTTATAAAGCACCACTGATGTGCTGCACCTCCAGCACCTCACGGGCTCAGTCTCACCCTGACGTGGCAGGTGTCTGTGTCCTCACTCACAGGCAGCGTGGGCTGTCCAAGGTTTGAGTGTCCTGGTGAAATCGGCAAAGCAGCCCCATCTTGCTTCCACGCACATCTGCCCGGCCTCTGTAACACACCAAAGCCAGCACTCTATAAAGTTGTTCTTAAGTAAGAACACCCTGAGCAAAATAATTAAGAGGAGGTTAAGACAGGAGACACATAAACCTCAAGGGAGGAAGACATATTTAAAGACCCTGTTGCTTCCATGGTTCAGGCCAATGACTTCTGATCAGACAGACAGAGAGAGCTGGGGCATGCACAATGCTAGGTATACATCTCCCACAGGCTCGGATCCAAGAGTGAACAAATGTGGAGAGCATGCTATGTGTCTGTGTCCCTTGTTACCTTCAGCATCTTTTCTTTTCTTCTTTTTTTTTGTTGGTTGTGGGGCTTTGAACTCAGGGCCTGTGGTGCTGTCCCTGAGCTCTTTTGCTCAAGGCTAGCACTCCACCATTTTGAGCCACAGCACCACTTCCAGTTTTCCTGGTAGTTATCCGGAGACAAAAGTCTCACAGACTTCCCTGCCTAGGCTGTCTTCAAACTGTGATCCTCAGATCTCAGCCTCCTGAGTAGCTAGGATTACAGGCGTGAGCCACGGGCACTCAGGTCAGCATCTTTTCAATGGTGGTCAAGTTATATATTACCACATCATTAATATTTAGGCTATACTTATGACCCACCATTTACACCATACACAAGAAACATTTTAGTAAAAACAAAGAAGTATCAACAAAGTAACTCCAAATTCTAAGCTTCAAGTCTTAAGTACCTTGGGTCTAGCAAATGCAAATACCTATTTCTGCTGCAGCACTATCAAATCACATATCTAAAGCTTCGTAGATGTGAGAGGAGTCACTCCAGCCAGAGGCATGTACAAAAGATCTGACCAGCCACCAAACATCAGGGGGTCAAGATCCCTTCTTGTACACACTTGAAGGGTGACCCCGTGGTGAAAGAACAGAGAGGTCATCAGAGCCGATGTTCATGACCTGCCCTTCATGTGGCCAGCTGCCAGCATGGAGCAGTGAGGACAGCAATCAGGCAGAATGGTCATGTGGGAATACCAGAAGCCAAGATGCTGTGAGCCCAAAGCAGGCCCTGACAAGGGAGAAGTCAAAGAAGGTATGAGCTGTATAACTTACAGAGTGCAGTTTCAGGAAAGAACCACTCTGGCAAAGCAAGTCATATTGAACATGAAGGAGAAAGGTACTCTATCAGTTCATTTAAAGTCCACAGTCAATTCATGCATTCAAAGAAAATGTCATGATCTGGGAGAACACAGTGACTCATGCATGTAATTCCAGCTATTCAGGAGGTAGAGATTGGGAGGATCATGGTTTGAAGCCAACCCAGGCAAAAAGTGAGAATCATCTCAACAAAACAGAGCAAGATGGCATCTCCTTGTAATCTCAACTACAAGGGAAGCATAGGTAGGAAGTTACCAGCCTGGGGAAAAAAAAGTAAGATCCTCTCTGAAAAAAAACACTAAAGTCAAAAGAGCTGGGGGGCATGGCTCAAGTGGTAAAGTGACTGCCAAGGAAGCACAAAGGCCAAGTTTTTAAACCTCACTATTGCCAATAATAACACGGCAACAAATATTACCTGCTAATGATTATTCACACTCATATATAGTGTCCTACCAGTGACCAGAGTCACACAGGCCTAACATGGTGCCCTCAACACACAACTCCAAACCACTCGGAGCGAGCACCAGCAGCTTGAGAATGAGGTGCTCACAGTCCTCAGGCAATCCCAAGCTCCTCAAGTCTGGGGATTCCACCTGTGGGTCTGCCTGGCAGTCAGACCCAAGGCCATGGGTACAGAATTCCCATCACCTTTACCTATCAGCAAAGCTCCAGAGTAGACCAAGCAAAGAAGATACAGGTGGGCGAAAAAACAGACACACACTCTACTGCTAACCAGCAGAACAGCATGAGGAAGTTCAAATGACCATGAAAGACGGAACTTCCGTGTCAAGCCAACGGTATGGATAGACAGCAGAGCCCTCCAGCACTCCCATGTGGACCTTCACCAAGAAAGACAAAATGACAGGACACAGAGCAACCCTAGTTTTAGGGAGCTGAAAATCAATCAAAACATTTTCTCACAATAATGGACTTACGCCCAAAATCATAAGTAAGAGGTTATCTGCTTGGAAGTTAAAGGATATCCTAGTAAAATAAATAAACGCAAGGGGTAAAAAAGTGCCAGGAGAAACCACAACAATTTGAACTGAATTAAAATGAAACTAGAACATATGAAAACTGCAGCCGTGTGGAGTAAAAACAGTACTGGGTGCTTATATGATACTTTACAAAAACAAAGAGCAGAATGAAGGAAATAATATAAATTATCAAAAAGTCTACAGAGAATGCTATGAAACAGAAAAGCTAGTTGTTAGTGAGAAAAAAATTAAAACTTGTACACAAAGGCCACAAACATGAGAAACTGTGATATAAGTGTTCTCTGCTGCTAGCTCCTGACAAAACTACCAAGAATCTTTGTCCTCTTATTTGGTCTCCAGTTCCTGACACAGAGGTCCCAAGGCCATCGTCATTTCCTGAGTGAAAGGAGGGTCTTTAGTTCTAGTGAGGCCTCCTGAGAAGCTGGCAGCCTAGCATGGGGTCAGGGAATCAACCAGTCAACTGTGTAATTACAGACTCTTGATCAGATCACCAATGGCCAGTGTTTATTCCCCTGTTACTCCACCTTGACTACAAAGGAAGCTTCCATAAAAGCACAAGGTGGAGCTGGGCACCAGGGGTTCATGCCTATAATCCTAGCTACTTAGGAAGTTGAGAGCTTGAGGATCATGGTTCAATGCCAGCCCAGGCAGGAAAGTCCGTGAGACTCTTATCTCCAATAAACCACCAGAAAACCAAAAATGGTGCTGTGGCTCAAGTGGTAGAGTGTTTGCCTTGAGCTGAAGAGTGGAGGGGCAGTGCCCAGGCCCAGAGTTCAAGACCCATGATTGACCAAAAACAAAACACAAGATGGTTGGGGACAGAGCTCCATGATAAGTCCCTACTTAGCATGCACAAGGCCCTGGTTTCAACGTTCAGCACCTCCAAAAGACAAAACAAAACAAACAAGGACAGAGTGCAGGGAGTTTCTAGGTAGTTGGAAAAAACTATGTTAGGTGAAAATCAGGCTCAGTGAGACAAACGGTGCACATTTTCTCACATATGGAATCAGATATAAATTATAAACATATATAAAAACAAAGCTCGGCACTGGTGCTCACACCTGTAATTCTAGCTACTCAGGGGACTGAGAGCTAAGGATCATAGTTTGGAGCCAGCTCAGGCAGCAAAGTCCATGAGACTCTCATCTCCAATAAATTACTCTGAAAAAGGCGGAAGTAGTGCAGTGGCTCAAGTGGTAGATCACTAGCCTTGAGCACAGAGGCTCAGGGACAGTGCCCAGGCCCTGAGTTCAAGGCCAAAGTCTGGCACCAAAAAAAGAGAACTCTGAAAAATAAAGAATTAAGGGAAGGGCACAGTGGCTCATGTCTACAATCCCAGCTACTTAGGAGGTGGGATTGAGAGCATTAGTTTTTTGTTGTAGTTATTTGTTGCTTTTAAACAGAGAGGTAACAGAGTTTTTTTTAACCAAGAGAAATAAAGGCCGCTCAGAGGAGTGAGCAGTAGGACAGAAACCGGTTCTTCCAGCATTTTTTTGTTTTGTTTTGTTATTATAAAACTGATGTAGTCTGGTTATAGTTACGTAAGTCAGGTAATGAGTACATTGCTTTTAAGATAGACTCATTCCTTCCTTCAGTCTCTCCCAGTTTTTCCCTCCCATCCCAAGCTTCAAGTTGTTTAGTTCACTTTCAACATAGTGTCTAATGAGTACCACGATGCATTTGTTCACCCTTTGTTCCTCTATTTCTGTGCCTTCCCTTAACCTCCCAAAGACAGATAAGTGAACAAACAAGACCAAAAGAAAATAAAACAAAATCAGCAACACAGAAAAAAAAAAAAAACCTCTTGTTCCCACTTCTTACACTTCATTTCAGTATTATTTTATACGATCAGAGGCAACATAAACGTTGTGCCTTTGTGTAACCTCCTTTGGTCTGTGTGTGAGTGTCTAGTATCCTATATAATTTTCCACGTCCCGATGTAATTTTAGATCTAGCTTCCACATATGAGAGAAAATGGGGGCATCATAGTTTAAAGTCAGCCCGGAGAGAGAAAATAAGACCTCATCTCAATCAACTCGCTGGAACAGTGGCTTGTGCCTGTCATACCAGCTATATAAGAAGTTGTAGGTAGGAGGACTGCAGTCTTAGGCCAGCCTGGAGCAAAACCGTGAGACCTTTTCTGAAGAGTAACTAAGGGGAAAAGAGCTGGAGTGTGCCTCAAGTGGTACAGTACTTGCTAAGCAAGTACAAAGCCCTCACCTTATAATGCAAATTAAAATTCTCAAAACAAAAGACTAAGAAAACAGAAATTAATTTCAAAACAAAGATACTACTCTGGAACACTGAGCAAGAGTTCACTAGAAGGGACAAGGCCTGCAGGGACAAGCAGGTCTGGGAAGAGGCCCAGCTCTTCAGTTCTTGTCAAACAGCTGCCAGAGGGAACAGACGGTTACTATTTGGAGTCAGCTGGCAGGGGCTGTGTCCGAGTAGGCAGTACGTACACTCAGAGAACAGCCTCTCTGCACATGGTGCTTCAGAGTCCTCTCCAGCCTGGACACTGCCCTGCACAGCTCCGCTTTCTCCCGAGTAGCTGTGCTGACAGCTTGTGTAAGAGAGTTGTTGTCTTTCAGTAGCACATCCATGAGCTGGACTTGTAGCTCTGCTGTCACTTTTTTCTTGAGAAAAAGAAAACACAAAAGTTTACCATAATTATAAATTATGTCACTATTTCAGTGATTATAATTTTAAACACATTTGGAGTTTGAAAGGAGGCTTACAGTGCTAAGTGTGGCTATCCATCTATGGGACAGGAAATAAGCTAATGTATCCTATCTCTTCTCAGTCCAGTACACAGTAGGATACAGGCCCATTATAAAATCTAAGAGTACCATAGACTCAGTCAGCACTTTACAATACCACTGCTTACTTTGAGGGGTCAAATGATCTCCACAACTTGAACCCTCAGCCTCCAGAGGGGTGGCATTGAAGAGAGGGATGGGACATGCCCCACCATCCCATGACTGACAATCAGTAAGTGGAGGGCCAGCAGGTGGCGCAGCTTCCCTGACTCCAGACACCATGCTGTGATTGTGAATATCTACAAAAGTCACTTGTGGTGAGCTTAGGACTTCCTGAAGGGTCAGGTTTGCATTCCTGAGGACAGTTCTCAGAAGAAACAGACAGAGCAGGCAGGCCTTTTGACCTCCCCAGAACAGAGTTACCACTCCTTTGGACCAGTGGCCTCTGAGGTAACCTGGACCTACAGTGAAGAACATCTAAATCGTATGTGTGCGTAGCACTGTTGAGCCCCAGAGAGCACAATGAACCTTAGGATATGGAAGTCATATGGCACCCACAAGGTCATACAGGGTAGGTAACCACTCAAACTCATACACACAAGGGAGGAACCACTGATGAACAACCCAGCAGAAATCACAAGCTGCGACCGTGTGACCGCCCTGCCCATGTGTGTGCACTCAGCACTGGCCCCTCTACCAAGGAGAGTGGCACCCCACAGCAGGAGGATCCCGCTGTACCTGGGAGGAGGCAGGTATGCTCAGCTCAGACTTCAGTTCCTCCAGCGTGTGGACTAAGGATGATACCGCCTTCTCATTGGATGATGTCCAGTCATTCATTGTCCTGTGAAGGTTCATACAGATCCAAATTACTATCACCCTAAGTAATTCAAGAGCTCTCTGCCACAGAGACAAAGGAAGTACATGTGTGCAGTATCCCTGAGACCCAGGAGCGCTGCCCTGAGCTCAGGGTTCGCACATGAGGGTGAGTGGCTTCAGCCAGCATTCCTGCCCATAAAGTGGGTCTGGGAAGCCTCTGACCTCAGCACAGCAGCAGAGCAGTCTGTAATCTGATCTGCAGCAGGGCCTGCAAACAGACACTCCTGAGAGGCTCAGAAACCTCTAGCTATCTGCCCTGGGCAGTGGTGCCTGGGTACTGTCATCCTCACATTTCTGTGTTCCATTGGGATTCTGTTCTGTCCAACTACTAAAAGTGCTCTCCAAATTAAACCATTAAAGTATGCTGCTATATAAATTACACAGATGGGGAAAGTCCACTAGCTGCATTTCTGCAGATAGGAAAAAGGCAAATACCAACATAACTTTTCTGCTCACTTTGCACCACAGGTACAACTCGAGAATGGGTGAGTTTGCAGCCTAAGTGTGAGTGGTCACCCGAGGCCCAACAGTGGTGCAGCTATGGCACCTCACTCTTGGTGAGCACAGGGCGGGAAGAGAACACAGGATGGGAGCAGCCATCCCAGTCCTTCTTTACCTAGTACAGGGGGAGACCAATCTAAAGGAAACTTGGAAGACACAGTCAGATGTGCTGTGGCTCTCAAGATTTTTTTCCCTACTGTAGAAAATAGTTTTGTTGGTATCTTTCAGGAGGTCTCTGACTATTAGTTCACTCATGGGAGGAGAACTGGAGTGTCAGGCTATTAAAACACAGCTCTAGAATCAGAGATCGCCCACACTTAACAATGTAGTATAAACAGGTGTATGAGGGGCTGGGGAGCGGTGCACTGGTGGTGCTCAGCACCACACACTCACACCTGTCCACGGTGTGGTTGACAAAGCTAGTCAGAAGCCCGGCCACACAGAGCAGCTGCTGCCTTATCTTCTCCAGCTCCTGCTGCTGTTCCTGGAGACGGCCCAAGTCCAGGGCACCCAGACGGGAGTCATCACCCCAAGGGACCTCTTCTTTCCACCGCAGCTCTTTCACCTTCTGCTGAAGCTGCTTGATCTTATGCTCATCGCGTTGGTGCTGTAACTCTAATTCTCGCTGTTGGCAATAGCAAAAAATAACATAAGAAAGACCTCCTTCAGTTTTCCACTTTGGTTAGGCAAAAAAATGCAGCAGTATACAAAGGAGGCCTCTGGCATACAAGACGGTGTCCTGAGGTGGTGATCACACTCTACTCTTGGACCCTCCAATGGGATCCTGCCAATGACTCCACTGAACCATTCAGCATCGCTGAGAGAGCTTTCTCCTCAGGCAGCCTAACAACACTTGTCTCATCTTTGCTCTTGAGGATGACTAAGCTCCTGCCATTTACAAGGGAAGTCCTGTGCTGCTGATTCAGGAAGGAGCTGCACTTATACTAGTGCATAGCCATGCATGTATACACAACTAGCTCAAGTATTCCCTGAAGGGAATTAGATGCACATGCATCTAATTGTGTGTGCGCCTCTCAGGGGAGCCTGCACTGAGCACTAAGGACTGAGCTGCTGGCAGCCATCAACCTTCCTTTATGAAATGGAGGCGAGTGAGTCTGCTCAACGCTGCAGCATGGTGGAGGCACCAGGACTGTATTGGTTTCCAGGATTAATTTGTTGACAGGCACTGGAGCTGCCTGCACCAGGTTTGACTGGAACTGGAGTTAATCAACCGTCAGGGAGAGGCAGCTCAGAGACGTGTCCGGGATGGCCAAGGTGGCCTAAGAAAGGTCACTGGGGAATCCTAGTGGCACTATAGGAGACGCAGTATGAAGAACTGGGAAAGCAGGAGATAGGCACAGATGAACCTACCCTAGTGAAACGAGACCCCAAGGCCAGACAGAAGATCTGAGGGAACCCTTCTAGTCTGCACACAGTGCTCAGAGACAAGGAGTAAGATATACAAATGCCCCCTCCTGGGCTGGGAAGGTGGCTCAGTGGTAGAGCACTTGCCTTGCATGCCTGAGGCCCTGGGTTCGATTCCTCAGCACCACATAAGCAAAAAAAAAAAGTCGGGAGTGGCGCTGTGGCTCAAGTGGTAGAGTGCTAGCCTTGAGCTGAAGAGCTGAGGGACAGGCCCAGAGTTCAGGCCCCACAACCAGACCCAAAAAAAAAAAAAAAAAACAAATGCCCCCTCCTGACAGCACCACCACGGCTTAAACTCCATCAGCAAGCAAATATGATTCTATCTTCCAGGTGAAGAAACTGAAGTTTGTACTGCTTAGAAGAGATGACTCTGGACTTGCAAGGCCCTCCTTGGGTCTCTGGAAATCCCAGATGGAAAATGGTTCTAGAGTGGGGTGCCAGTGGCTCCGGCCTACAATCCTATATTCAAGAGACTGAGACCTGGAGAATGGCAGTTTGAAACCAGCCTGGGCAGAAAAGTCTGTGAGGTTCCAGCTCTAATTAACCAAGCAAAACACTGGACTGAAGGCATGACTCAAGTGTTAGAGCACCAGCCATAAGCTGGTGTCATTCATTAAAAAAAAAAAAAGCAACAAAAGGATTTGTTGGAAACTTCACATAAAGCTTGGGAGAAATTTCTAGCAAAGGACCATTGAGAACTACTCTAGCTCGAGAACTCTTCCAGGGACAAGAACACCAAGATCCAGATCACAACCACCTGTTGCACTGCACCTACACCAGGTTCTATCTAACCCAGAAGGAGCCCAGGGCTGCTTGACTGATGGTCTCTACACAACCGCCATGGCTGCAAACACTCCCAATGACCTCACTGTCCTGCCTCCTACACGCCCTTCCTGCTGTCCACATTGCCATTCCTTCACGATCCACACTGCCAATCTTCCAGCCATCACCACTGTCAACACTCGCACTGTCCACACCTTCAGTCTTCCCACCACTGACACAGCCGACCTCCTTACCATCTACACACCTCCAAACAACTCCCTTTTCTCTGTATCTGCAAACTATCCCCCTATCTTTCTATAACTTCCAGTGATAAAATACTATTGTTTCGGAGGGTTTTTTATTTTAAAACAACAAGAAAATAGTCTCCTCTGCTTGTGTCATCAGGAAACTTGCTTGTATAACATCTTGTTATATAAGTGGGCACACACTGCATTTAGGACAGTCTACAAAACAGGGCTGGTCCTGGCAAAGGCAGAGACTGCTCAGCAGAGGCTCCACTGATAGATGAGAATTTTCTGAAACTATTATGACAGTTCCAACTTCTAGTATGCTCAAAACACTAAGATATCCAACTTAAACTGAGAAACTCAAAGTATATGAATTGTCTCATGAAGTTAAAAAAGAATTATCAAAATGACATCCCTGATATGAACTTACAAAACTAATACTGTAATATTTTGGGTTGACTTAACCTTGAAAATATTAAAAACCTGGAGCTTGGCTTTTAGAAGCAGATCTTCCTTTCTTAACTGGCTAATGGCAAGCTAAGCCCTTGGAAAAGGACAGGCCACTGGCTTTACCTCTGTTGTTAAAAAACTTTTTTAAAACATCACAAAATATAAAAAGTTACGATTTTAAACAATACAAAACAAGTGCCAATCCAAAAGAAGACATTCAACGTCACTTTGAAATAGAAGCTTTTGTTTCTATCAAATATATTTGAGAACTGACAGGGTATCTTTTTAAAAGAGAAAGAGAGGGGCTGGGAAGGTGGCTCAGTGGTAGAGTGCTTGCTTTGTATGCATGAGGCCCTGGGTTCGATTCCTCAGCACCACATAAGCAGAAAAAAACTGGAAGTGGTGCTATGGCTCCAATGGTAGAGCGCTAGCCTTAAGCTGAAGAGCTGAGGGACAGCACCCCAGGCCCAGAGTTCAGGCCCCATGACTGGAAAAAAAAAAAAAGAAAGAAAGAAAGAGAAGAAGAAACAACCTGTGAGATCACTGCTATTCTAACACTAAAAACCAAACACATTATAAGAAAACTACTAACCAGTATTGCTCATGAGCACAGATGCCCAAGTCTTCAACATGATACTAGCAAACTCAGTACAGCAGCAAATAAAATCACTTTCTGTAACCAAGACACTTGTCCCAGGAATGAAAGGATGGCTCATTAGGTGGAAATCAATCACTGTTATATTCAATTATAAAGTAAAAGACAAAAACCATAGATCTGAATAGACTCTGAAACAAACATGAGAAAAATCTATCATCTTTTGTAAATAACTAAATGAATGGACAGATAGATGGACGGACAGACAGACAGACAGACATATAAAAAATAGAGAGAGGAAGTTGCAGAGAGCCAGTAGCTCACATCTGTAATCTCTTAGCTACTTAGGAGAACAAACTCTAAGGATGTGTGGCTCATATGGTAGAATACCAGTCAAGAGTGAAAAGGTCAAACAGCTTGCACAAGGTTCTGAATTCAAGCCCTGGTACAGTCACATACACATGTGTACACATACACAAAGGGCGGATTACTAAGGATAAAGTCTAATAAAGTGTACCACAAAAGTCTAACAGCTAAAATATCCAATCATAGGGGCTGGGAAGGTGGCTCAGTGGTAGAGTGCTTGCCTTGCATGCATGAGGCCCTGGGTTTGATTCCTCAGCACCACATAAGCAAAAAGAAAAGAGCCAGAAGTTGCGCTGTGGCTTAAGTGGTAGAGCGCTAGCCTTGAGCTGAATTGCTGAGGGACAGCACCCAGAGTTCAGGCCCCACCCAAAAAAAACAAAAAAAAAAAAATATCCAATCATAAAAAGCTGGAAGCTCCAACCCCAGTGCAGGAGTAAGGCAAGGGAGTTGGTGCTCACCCCTTCTGCCCAACTCTGGGCCACTGGTTCCAGTAGAGCGACCAGCAGGAAAAGAGAGCAAAAGACAGCAGACTGCAAAGAAAGATGTATTTTTCTGAGACAAGGTCTTGGTATGTAGCCCAGTCTGACCTTGAACTTACAATCCTCCTGCCCTAGCCTTCTAAGTGCCGAGATTACAGCCATTTGGATCCATATCATCTTATATACAGAAAATCCGTTTAAAAAGTAAGAAAACTGTAGTAACTATAATCCCTCTGTACATCACCCCTACAATAACAAATATATTTAATAATTTTTAAAAACTACCATTAATAAACATATTCAGCAAGGTTGAAGGACATATAAAAGTTAATTGTATAACAATCTATACACTAACAAGAGCTTTAAAACAAAATTAAGAAAACAATTTCATTTACAGACAAATCAACAAATAAAAAACCACTCTTAACTAAATTCAATAAGAGTATAAAGCTCATGTTCAGAAAACTGCATAAGACTGTAAAGAACTACAAAACTAGACTGACATCTGTGATCAGGGATCAGAAGACTCACACTGGTTAAAATGTCACAACTATCCAACACAATCTACAGATTACATGCAATCTCTATCAAAATCCCAAGGGTCTTTTTTTTTCCCCCCCAGAAATGAAAAAGCCACCTGGAGTTGGTGGCTCACACCTGTAACCATAGCTACTTAGGAAGATGAGATCTGAGGATCTGCAGTTCAAAGGCAGTCTATGCAAGACAAGTCAGTAAGACTCTTATCTCCAATTAACCACCAAAGAGCCAGAAGCAGAACTGTGGCTCACGTGGTAGAGCACTAGCCTTGAACAAAAAAAGTTCAGGGACGGCACCCAGGCCCAAAGTTCAAGCCCAGGATCAGCAAACTCAGGTGGCATGCCTGCATAGGTATACTTGCACAAACAAAAGGAAGGGAGGAAGGGAGGAAGGGAGAGAGGGAGGGAGGGAGGAAGGGAGGGAAAAGGCCAAACTTCCAATTCACATGGAACTACAAGGAGTCCAAGTAGTCAAATGTCTTGACAAGTAACGGTGGTTCTAGTTGAAAACTGCTACAGTGCTGGAGTATTCCACATACAGTGCTGCCTCAAGACTGCACAGATCTGAAGCAGTACGAGGCGGCCAGGAATAAGCTCACACAGGCCATCCTAACTCTCCAATAACCTGGAGCTCTGACTCAGGATCTGCACTTAGGAGGCTAGGGCAGATGTCTCTCAACAGCTTCTCCTGACCTCTCCACCACCTCGTCCACATCTCTGCTTTGGCTTTACGGGCTCAGCACTGACCTCCTCTCATTTCGTGTCCTTGCTCTGACTCTATGGATAACTACACTACTTCTACTTATAACCAAGTGATCTCTTCCCCTCTATGTCCCAAGACAGCATCATCTCAGCCCATTTCTGGGTCTGCAGAGTGGCCATACGATAGCACTTACCTCCTTCTCTCTCCTGAGTTCAGCACAGCGCTCCTGAGCCTGGGCCTCCAGCTGCTGCTGTGCCTGTGTGGCCTGCTGCTGCACTTTCTCAAGCATGACCTGCAGCTCCAGTGTACGAGCCTTCTCTGACTTCAGCTTTCGCAGTAAGTTATGGTGTCCTTGTGTCTCCTGGCGGGCACAGGCCTCCTGCACACTGCGGCTCAGCTGTTCAGTCAAGAGCCGCTCATGCTGCAAGGCCTCCAGCAGCTCCGATGAGTGACTCTTCTCAGCTTCCAGGCTCTTCTGAAGCTCGCAGAGCTGGCTCTGTTCCTGTGCCAGCAAGGCCTCACAGCGTGAACACTCAATTTGCAACTCTTTCTGCAAGTTGTCCTTGGCTGTGCGTTCGTGTTTTAATGCAACACTCAGTTGACTATTTTGAGAACGTTGCTTCTCTAAAGTTATTTTTAACTCCTACATTCATGGGGGGGGGGAAAAACCAACAAGATAGTAAACAATGAGGAAAGTAAACAGTTTCCCTACTCAAACTATTTTTTTTTTTTTTTTGGTCAGTGGTGGGGCTTGAACTCTGGGCCTGAGCACTGTCCCTCAGTTCTTCAGCTCAAGGCGAGCGCTCTACCACTTGAGCTACAGCACCACTTCTGGTTTTCTGGTGGTTTATTGGAGATAAGAGTCTCATGGACTTTTCTGCCCAGGCTGGCTTTGAACCTCAATCCTCAGATCTCAGTCTCCTGAGTAGCTAGGGTTACAGGCGTGCGCCACTGGCACCCAGCTCCTACTCAAACTTCTGCTGATACATTTTGTGTGTGTGTGTGTGTGTTTTCCTTTAAAAGTTATTTTTAAGTAGCTGTACAAAGAGTTGCCATTCAACTGTGTAGTGTATAAATACAATGACTCTTGATCAATGTCACCCGTCATCATTCCAACCATTAATTGTAACTTCTGAAATCTATCCAGTGAGTGAAAGTATGCACGAGACGTTTTCTGCATGGATAAAGTGCTATTTGGAAAGTGGTGTTGAGTATATGCAGACACATACCCTGATTCAGATATGCCCCATAAACCACAACTTCCTCGATTTTCAGTGGCTTGAGTCTATGTTGGTGGAAGATACACTCTGTAACCCATGGCTGGTGATCTATAGAACACATGGTGGACCTGCATGGCATCCAGGATCTGTGTGCCTACCACTTATCTACATTACAGACAGACCTCAGAGGCTATATATCACCCAAGGTTGCAAAGGAACCCTGTGTCTATCTCCCAGATCCAAATCTTCTAGGACCAAGAAAGCAACACACCACGGCTAGTTGCCACAGCTATCTGCCTCACTGTGGCTCTGTCACTATATGGCACGATTTTGCCTTGTGGTAACATCCCTATCTCACCACCTCAAGCTCCTGTCACCTTGGTAAAGTACAAACTGGGCTGCCATCAACAAGTGTACAAAAGAAAGGCAGGAAGGCCTGTGTCTGTTCCCAGAAGCAATGGCCAGGACAGCTCGGCCCCAAGAGCCAGTCACCTCCAAGGCCTTGGAGCTCTGGCCCTCCCACTGAAGGTGCCGCTGCCGCTCTTCCTCCCGCTGGGCCTGGAGGGCTTGCTCCTTCCTGTGCTCACACTCCAGCTCCTCCAGAGCAGCCTTCAGGTCATTCTCCTTCCCATCCAGCATGGACCTGTGTGGGGATATAGACAGCATGGAGGCCCAGGTCAAGGATGGGCTTCAACAAGGTTGGAAAGCTGCTCTGCCACTCCCCCTCCTCTCTGTAGCTCTCTCATTCCCATACTGAAGCCCAAAGGCTCCTACAGCCAGACATAACGAACCCAGTTCCTCTGGCAGATGATGCTGTTCAGGGTCGTACCTCAGCTGGAGGATTTCCTGCTGCATCTCACCAAGGGATTCCAACAGCCTTGCGTTCTCCTGTTTATACTCAAGCAGCTCCAACTTCAGCTCCTGCACCGTGCTCTGCTCTGCAACCAGGCGCTTCCGGACATCACTTACTTTCTCTTGTTCTTTGCCCAGGGTTTTCTGTAAGTCACTTACTATACACTTTTCCTGCTCAACTTTATACGCCAATAGTTCAACTGAGAAAAATTAAAATGTAAAACAACATTATGAATCCCAAGTGCACAAAACAAATTAAGTTACAAATGAAACTGATTAGACAGATGTGTGTTCCAGTGGGAGAAAGCTGACACTTCCGTGAGCTGAAGCCATGCTTGCGAGGGATCATGCTCCTTTTTCTTTCTCACTAGGCATCACTTTCTTGGTCAGGACACGTTCCTAAAGCCATCCCTGCACAGGTGCTGGCCAACCCCACCATGTATCACTCACTGGGCAATTCAAATCCCACATGGTATCACTGGCAAATTCTAAAGAACAATAGCTCCAGTTGTGTTTCCAGTTCTGGAAACACAAGGACAGGGGATACGTCCCAGTGCTCACAAGGCTAGAAAAGGGCCTAAGAGAAAGAACACTACAGACTAGGTCCACAAAACATTCCCGAGTGCAGCCCAGACATGCATGCTGCACTCCAGCTCAGCACTGGCTGTTTCACTAACAAAATCCAAACATGAACACAGGTTCTTCCTCACTGACCCCATAAGCAGTGGGAACAACACAGTGCCAGGAGATAGAGGCAGAAGGGAGGCAAGTTGGCAAAGACAAATTCCAAACTCCAGTGCAAATGCCTAAGAGTCCCACACATATAAAGGTGAAGGCCCTTCAGACCCTGCAACCCTTAGGGGCATGCTCCCAGAGCCCTGCATCGAGGACCTAGCAGCCAGATTTTTTCAGTGTGCAGTACAGGACAGTGTCAGGGGTGGCTAGAAGGCCATACTGCACCAACTAGTGGGAGCAACGACACCCACCTTGCCTACGAAGCTGGTGTTCCCGCTGACTCCCGCGGGCCTCTGAACTCGTCAGTGCTGTGCATAACTGCTGCAGCTTCTCCTGGTTCTGCAGGTGTGTCATGCGCAGCTGAGCCCGAAGGGCCTGGATCTCGGACAACAGGCTGCTCCTATCTGGTGGGAAAAGGTGTTCCTGGGGCTTCTCCTTCAGGTCCCCCTGTGGATGGAGAGCAGCAGACTCTGTGTGATGCACTGGAGGGCAGGTGCTAGGGCTAGGAACACAACCTATGCCACATAGTCCACCTTCCCAAACCCAAGCTTCCAGTGAGACTAGAACATCTTGTATGTTGTGTGAGCATACAGCACGGTGCACAACAGTCCAGGGCTTTAGCTCCAGGCCTGACACCTCACCCACAACTCCAACTCCTTGTCTGGTGTCTGAAGGAAGTAATGTACATGGGATTTCTGGTGACCTTTGTGTGGTGTACTCAGCAGCCCAGGCAGCCCATGGTCATTGAGAGACAGGTTCCAAGGAGGATCTGCAGAGCTCGTCAGAGCTCACAAATAAAAATACCTGCATTAGCCGGGCGCTGGTGGCTCACGCCTGTAATCCTAGCTACTCAGGAGGCTTGAGAGCTGAGGATCGCAGTTCAAAGCCAGCCCAGACAGGAAAGTCTGTGAGACTCTATCTCCAATAAACCACTAGAAAATCAGAAGTGGCGCTGTAGCTCAAGCAGTAGAGCGCTCGCCTTGAGCTGAAGAGCACAGGGACAGCGCCCAAGCCCAGAGTTCAAGCCTCACAACCGACAAAACAAAACAAAAAACAAAAACCTGCATTGCACTAGGTTTCCTTAACCACTTGTAACCACATTCCAAGGTTAAGAAGAGTATGTGACCCCAAATTCACACATGAAATATTCTCTTATCTTCTCTAGAAGAGCCAGGCTCCTGTCAGGAAAATCAAGGCCTAGACAGAGCAGTTACTCACTTGTTCTTGGATAATCTTCTCCAGCCTCTTGAAAAGGGAACTGTAATCTTGCAGATCTGAGCTGCAAGATCTGGGCTTCAGCTCTTTCTCAAACGCCTCTTGCACAGCCTGCAAAAGCCCCCCACTCCAGGCAAGGCAGGTGTCAGAAGGTTCCTGCAAAGGCCAAACAAGGACTTCAGTGCCAGGCTGGTGTGGCTCAGTGGTGAAGGCTTGCTAAGCACATAAAATCTGCTTCACTTCCAGCACCACAAAAGCAGACAGGCTGGGTAATCCTAGCTACCCAGGAGACTGAGATCAGGCGAATCAAAGTTTGTCAGCAGAGGCAAAAAATTTGTAAATCCAATCTCAATTTTTTAGAAACAAGCTGAGTATGGCTATTTCAATCAACTTTTTAGAAAAAAAGCTGTGTGTGATGGCATGTGTCTGCTGTACATGAAAAACACTAATAGGAAGGTCAAAGCTGGCCAGGGGCAAAAGCAAGACCCCATGCAAGAAATAATAAAAGTTAATGAAGGAGGCATGGCTCAAGCAGTAGAATACCAGCCTAACAAATACAAGTCTCTGAGTTCAAACTCCAATACCAAAAAAGAATCAAGAAAAAAACAAACCAGCACCCCACCAGCATACCCTACAAATCCCGTGGACTGAATGTGTCCCCGACAGTCACTGTCCTAGGAACTCAAGGCCTCCTTAGAGCTCAGTGTGGTCAAAGCTAGGCTCTGACCCCAGAGGGCGAGAGCTTTAACTGTGAGAAGGTAGAGGCCCCACAGTGCCTTTTCTGATGCAGTGAGGAGGAGGAGGACACCTCACCAGAGTTGAACCATGCTGGGCTGGGATCTGAATCCCAGCCTCCAAATCAGTCAGAAGTAAATGTCTTTTGTTTAAGCTGTCTAATTTTGATGCCTTGTCATGGCAGCTCCTATGGTGGCAGAAGAAGAGGCGAATGGGCACCCAGCACCATGCAGGACGAACAAGGCAAATGCTACTGCCACAGAAAGTGCCACAAGAAAGAAGATAGTGAAATGAGGCCAAAAGAGATACCAGAAAACAGCTCTCCTTTTCCTCCTCCTGCCATCCTTGTGAGTACCTGGTCTAGAGAGGCCCAAGGCTGACTATGTCCGTTGCACTGAGCAGCTGGAAACTCCAAAGGCCGTGACCAGAAGCTAACGTGTAACAGCTCAAGGACCCGGTGGCATGACCAGAGCACAAGCAAACCCTAGGGGCCTGCATGCACAGCTGTTTCCAGTGAGTGGCTGCTTACTCACAAACCACTAGAGCGAGCCTGAGGGCAAGTGATGAAGGAGATGGAGTGTGCCCGGAGTGGCAACCACATGTGGCACATTCCAAGAAGAATACAACCTTTCTCTCCGAATGGGATACTTCCAGCCCAGTAAGAAGCAGCAGATGTAAGGAATGGAGCAGTAGGGATGAAGAGAGGGTGGGTGGCATGAGGCCCAGCCCAAGCCTACTAGGGTCTTGATGTCCACTTCATATTGTCTGGCCCCTGGACATCGGAGAAGGTAAGCAGAAGAGTAGGAAGGCCAGGGCCAAGGAAGTCTGGTTTGGAAGGAGATGGTGCTGCAGGAGGGATCGCAGGGCTAATGTCACAGTTGAGTCGGCACCTACAAAGCTGAATGACCAGGCCACCATGGCAGCGTGTACTTCCTGGCTCCTGACAAGCACCCGTCGTGCTGACACCTGAAGTGCATCCAGATCACACAGCTGGGGCTCCCCCTCAGTTCCCTGTAACTGCACTGCATGAACCCTGTGCCTGTGCACAGCCATCGTTGTTAGTGCCTGCACGTCTCTGGTCTCACGGTGTGGCCCAGGTTGGCCACAGACTCTGGATCCTAGTGACTCAGCTTCCTGAGAATGAGGATTGTATGATGGGTCACCACTATGGGCTTTTCTCATAAACTCAGTTCCATACCTTTTCTTCTTTCTCAGGTGCTAACTCCAGCAGCCCCTGCCTCTCCCTCAAGCAGTCATCCAGAAGGGCACGTGGTTCGCCCCGGCTCAGAGCTCTGGGGAGCTCTTGGTTCTCTGACAAGGCCAGTATCTGATGGCTCTCGTCAAACACCATCTGCAGCAAAGCCTACAGCAGGGAAGAACATGTCAGGAAGGGGGAGACCAGCCTGAAGTCTATGTACTACTGTGCCACCACTACTCTGGGAGCAGACACCCAGGGGGGCCTTGTCAAACCCATGGCTGTGGTCAGATACTCTGGCAGAAATAGGCTGCCAGGCACTTGCAGGAAGGTACTAACCAACTACCTTTGCCCTAACTCCAAGGTCTTCAAACTTTCCTACTGCACTGTCACAGACAAAGAAATCAAGCTGGACAGGGTGACTCCAAGAACAGCCCCATAACTGACTCCACTCTCTACTGCTCGTTCATGGGGAGCGCTCTTCTACATCTAGACTAAACCTCAGGCAGGGCTTTTCAGGCCTGCTATGGTCATGTCACAAGGAGATTCAGCATTCTTGGCCCTCCTAGGTAAAATGAGGGGGATCCTTAACAGCAACTTGAGCGCTTATGAATGCAACCTGGCTGATACGCCAATGACCAACTGCAAAGTGAAGGTGCCTGGGTAGATGTGGGGCCCAGACAGAACTTCCCCTGGCCTACAGGTCTGTGACTACAATGCGGCCTCCTCCACCCTGACCCTGGAAAGCATCCTGTCCGTGGGGATGAGAGGTAAGGTGCCAGGAGCTGGTGCAGAGCCAGCAGAGCTCAGAGCAAACACTGCCAGAGCTGCAAATAAAGGGTCATGTTGATGATGCATTCAGCCTAAAAACTGTTCCAAATTAGGAAAACTCAAAATTAAGCAATGACAAAACCTATGATACAGTTAACCTAAAAAGTAATTTTGTGTGTTGTGTTTTCCTGGGGCCTGAACTCAAAGCTTTATGATCTTGCTCTGCTTTATCACAGAGAGATGGCACACCACCACGTGAGCCACATCTCCAGTTCTGACTCTTTTCTGCTTAACTGGAGATAAGAGTCTCCAAGATTTGTCTGCATGGGTTGGCTCCAAACTGCAAACCTCCGAACACAGCCTCCCAAGTAGCTATGATTATTATACACATGAGCCACTGGCATTTGACTTAAAAAATATTAATAATGGAAGTGGCGCTGTGGCTCAAGCAGTAGAGCACTCGCCTTGAGCTGAAGAGTGCAGGGATAGCGCCCAAGCCCAGAGTTCAAGCCCCACAACTGACCAGAAAAAAAAAAGAAAAAAAGAATTCAACGTGTGCTGGGCGTGGGTGGCTCACAGTTATAATCCTACTTAGGAGGCTGAGACCTGAGGATCTCAGTTCAAAGCAAGCCCCACCAGGAAAGTCCGTGAGACTCTGATCTCCAATTAACCACCACAAAAAAAAAATATTAATAATACTAATATTAAGCTAGAAACCAAACTACTATACTTATTTTAAAGATGATTTGGCAATTCAAAGGTTTTCCTTTAAAAGCAACATATCTATTGTTGGTGATGGTGTTTGTTTCTGATTTTAAGGGGAACAGAAGAAGGGTGAACAAATGCAGTCATGGTATTAAGTATACACTATGTAGAATATGACTTTTGCAACTTGGGGGCAGAAATGAGAGGGGAAGCCAGATGCCCATGGCTCACACCTGTCATCCTAGCTACTCAGGAGATTGAGATCTGAGGATCACACTTCATAGCCAGCCTGAGCATTAAGTCATTAAGTCCCGTACTGTGATGGCGAGCCCCGCCAACAGTACCTTGTTGTCTAGAAACACTTACATGCAGCATAAAATCAGCCCCTTCTTGGAACTAACAGAGCTGTGAGTGCAGGACCTGAGCACCTTCATTTGGCACAGAACACACGGTGTGTAGTGTATGTGGTGGTCACTCTGCACCCAGCAACCCTTACCTTCACATGCTTTCCGTGGACCTCCTTCTCCTTCATTGTTCCTAGTGCCTGTGGGGACCCTTCAAAGTTGAGAGCAGCAGCAGCAGAGCCAGCAGTGAGATCCTCAGGTCCTACTGAGCCTGGTGTCAGTATCACATCAGTACCTGGGCCATCACCTGAGAGCACACAGAGTTAAGGGCTATAACATCCAGTTCTAACTGCTCCTTCAAGTGAAAAAAATTACCTTATGAAATATGAATAACATGAGGATGACCCACGCTAAGTGAGGAAAACTTACTTTGCATATTCACTGTAAATACCTATGACAAACACCAGGGGTGTACCTTACACAGGTACAGCTGTGCATCCCACCAGTAGCTAACCCTGAGCAGGCAAGCACTCAAGAGCAGCCAGGCTGCACAGGGCCCATGAACTTCACATCCAACGAAGGGTGAACAAAAGATCAGCAGGCAGACAGAGGGCACTGACTACCAAGGGAAGCTGGAAACAGCAGAATGACAGCAACATCTGGTCCAGAAAAGGTGAATGTGAGATGGGAACATGAAAATCCCTGAACACAATCCAGAACACTTGGACACTGGACAACTTTGTCTGATAGGTCAGGCCTCAGAACTCTCAGGAGAACATAAGGCCATGTACGACAAGGGGTGGTTTCCAGGGAAAAGGCTCCACACCACCTCTGAGAGCAGCTCCAGATCAGGTAGACAGTGAACCCATCCAAGGATAAGGTCCTGCTACGAGGAAAGGCAAGTCTATATCCTCACACAGGCAAAGGAAAAGAAAGTAAAGAGACCACAGAGAAGACATAAGGTACAGAAAACACAAGGAAGAAAAATTTAAAAATAGTCAAAACACAACTTCAAAGAAATAGGGAGCACATCATTCATGAAACAAAAATAAAGAAAAGCACAGCTTGGGAGTAATGAAGTAAGGAGGTCAGGTCTGGCCGGTGCTATACTGGCCACATGATGGATGGGAGGGTCTGGCGTCTTGTCTTCATGCTGGGGGGAGAAAACCCCTGCCCATGACCTGCCTCCCAGGCAATGGGTGTGCCCAAGGGACCGGCACTTGGCTGAGAGTCCAGTGCCTGGGACTGGGAATTTCCTGAGGATCTGCCCCCTGCATGGACCTATTTAGGCCCAGACCAGCCTAGCCGCCAGGGCCATGCCAAATGTATCTCTGTGATCGTGTCCTGTGTCCTGTCTCCTGGCTCATTGCCAGTCATCATGGCGTCCCAACTCAGCTCTCCATTGAAGCTGAATTGGCTTGTTGGTATTGTTTTTGTTCTCTCTTTCCTCTTTAGCATGTTTCCTAGCTGTGTTATGTGTACTTAGGGGCTGCAGGCCTTTGTAACAACGGGTAGCCTGCAGCCTATTAACTGTATAATAAAGACTCCAATATTCTATCTTTCAAAATGTGGCTTCTGGGATAATTCACCCTACAACAGTAAGGGGCATGCTCAGGAACTCAAAGTGGAAGAAGAGACATGCAACTGTTCAGCACAAAGGTCAGGAAATGAAGTTCAAAAAGCAAAATGGAAAAAAAAAGAAACTAAAACAAAAACAAGGTGGAAGAGAGAGAAAAAAAATAAACCAGTCCAAGAGTACAAATATTTCATGAACAAGAACTAGGAAGAGAAGAGAGAAAACCACGGGGAAATGATCTAAAGACATACTCCACCCTGACCAGACAGGTCACCACAGGTCAAAGAGAACAAGCGGGCAAGGCAGTACTCCACAGCCAAGACCCAAGAGTCTACACCAAGACCAAACAATCAAGACAATGTTCTCAGAACACTTTCTCCAGAAGCCTCTGGGTAATATGCTTCATTAAGATAAAGGACCAATAAGAAGGGACAAAGGGCTGGGCACTGGTGGCCCATGCCTATAATCCTAGCTACTCAAAGACGCTGAGATTTGAGGATCACGGCTCAAAGCCAGCCCAGGCAGGAAAGTCCGTGAGACTCTTATGTCCAATTAACCACCAGAGAACCCCGGAAGTGGTGCTGTGACTCAAGTGGTAGAGCGCTCACCTTGAACTGAAGCACTCACAGGCAGCACCCAGGCCCTGAGTTCAAGGCCCATGACAAAAAAAAAAAGGGAACTAGGGGTCCAATGGAGTGTCCACAAAAGATGAGCAGGCAGAGAACCTGCTTTGACGACTTAAATTGAGTAGGTAAACACAATGGCACACATGAGAAAACACCTTTAAGTGGTGGAGAGAACATGCACATGCCACTCCGCTGGGGACGGAGGACACAATGTATATACAGGCCATAGTAGAATGACAAGGAAATGGAAACATGTGGAGCTCACTACTACAGTGTCCACACATAATTTTATACCCTATGTGTGGTATGAAAATCAACCAGAATCTAGAATCAAACATAGATTCCCCATGGAGCAGCAACCCAACTGAGTCAGGGACTGACAAAAGCTGCTCATGGAATGACACATGCAGAGCCCTCAGCTGCTCAAGCCACATGCTCAGAACTTGAAGTAAAAGACAAAACGAACAGTTGCTAGTAAATGAAGGTGTGGCTCAATTAGTAAGAGCATCAGCCTTGAGAAAAAAAGCCAAGTGAGAGTGCAAGGCCCTGAGTTCAAGCCCCACTACCAACATCAACACACACACACACACACACACACACACTTGCTAGCATGATGGTACATGCCTGTATTCACAGCATTCGGTAAAATATCAGCAGTTTGAGGCCAGCCTGGGTTAGTTACATAGGGAGACCCTGCCTCAAAAAAACAAAAAATTGCTGGCATTAGCATTTTGCAAACTTTAGATTTCTAATAAATTATATCTCACTGTGATCTCACACTCAAAAATCACTAAAAGTGGCAATGACTTAAAAAAACAAACCAAACAAAAAAAGAAACCAAGTGCTGACTTGGAGAAAGGAAACCATTACAGAATAAATTAATAAAATTTAACAACCAAACAAATCCAGCAAGAACCTTTACAGAGACCAAGACCAACAGATAAGAAATCGAGAACTTCTACATGGTCTCCAAGTATCTCCCACAGGTGTCCACCTCATGAAAAAATAAAAAAAACTAAACATCTAGCAGACTTAACTGTAGCCACGAGGCCCACTCCAACCCCACATAGCTCTGACAATGAAGAACCCCATTTACATGACCTGCACAACATACCAGATAGACGCCTGCTAAGTATCCTACTTCAAACCACTGCCCCTGCTCTTCATGAATGTCATTACTCTTTAAACCCAGAGAGGACACAGGAAACTCTCCAAAAGATGGGAGGAGCAGAGACACATCATATACTTATGACCCAGGTACCCCTCTGCCTGCCCTATACCAAATACCACTTGTAAGCTGAGATGACACTGTAAGCTGGAAGGATATTACTGGGATAATCACACAATCTGAGTACCCCATCCGGTCTTGGCTCAATGTGAACTCCTGGTGCAGAACACTGCTAGACACGTATTCCATGAAACACACAGTGTTTTGAGGTCTACAACCTCTGAGTACAGGAAGGGGACACAGTGCACATGAAGGAATTTCTTATATCATCCTGTACTCTAGAATTGATTGCCAAAAGAAAAAATAACTCACCGTTTCCACTCCCATTGCTTCTTTTTTCTAATCCGAGAGGAGGGGATCTTAATGGTTCTTGAGAATCAAACGATGTTATGACAAAGTCTTCAATGTCCTTTTCCTATTTAGATAGGCAGACTTTTAGATGGTTACAAAATAGTAACATCACATCACAGAGCCAAACTTTTCAGATGGTAATTTTCTAAGGCCAAAATTTAACATCTTCCCATAAGGAACCCAGCTCACAGCATTCAGAACTTGTGAACAGGCTGAGGTCATATGCTTCCAACTACTTAACCTGAAATACCACAGCACTTTAGGAATATTTTATATTAGCCATTAGCAAACATCCTAAGATTCTATGATACCACATGTATGGATCCCTAGATAACACATACCCCCAAAATTACTTATTTTATCTTGCTTAAGATATATACGTTGTTCAAATTAATGCTAGGGAAAAATAACTGAAGTGCTCTTAAAATTAATCAGCATCATATAAAAAAAATCTGAGCCTGGAGCCAGTGGCTCACGCCTATAATCCTAGCTACTCAGGAGGCTGAGATCTGAGGATCTCGGTTCAAAGCCAGCCTGGGCAGAAAAGTCCATGAGACTCTTATCTCCAATAAACCATCAGAAAACCAAAAGTGGTGCTGTGGCTCAAGTGGTAGAGCACTAGCCTTGAGCTGAAGAACTGAGGGACAGCACTCAGGCCCATAGTTCAAGCCCCAAGACCGACCCAAAAAAAAAAATCCGTGGCACATGAAGTATTTATGAAAATAAACCAAAAAACATTCTAGAGAAAGAATCTTTCTGCATATTACACCCCAACAATGAATATTTGACTGCACTACTCAGAATCTGCATCAGGTAACCAACACCAGGATGAGTTTCTGAGAAGGGCTACTACACCTTTCGTTTTTGACATGACTGAAGTCAGCTATGGCACTGCCTGCATCCCTAAGAAAGCCAGTCCCTCCAGGGACTGGGAGGCACCTGGCTGACAGGTGAGACAACAATGGTGCTGTTGTGAGGCAAATGCACAGGAACTCTAGCCAGCACCTGGGTGTTGTAGAGAAGTCACCTACCGGGGCTGTCTCTCCATGGTGATGCTCAGCCGACACAGCTGCTGTCCTCTGTGGGCTCACTCCTGGGTAACAAAGCAGCTCTGAAGCATGGGCCCCCATTGGTGAGTCCATCCAGTCTTTTGGGGTGGTGTCAGCGCTGCGCAGGCTCATGGCCCCTGAGCAGGGCGTCAGGGGTAGGCTGAGCTGAGGCTCTAGGGTAGAGTCCTTCCGGAGGACTTCAGGAGAGCTCCAAGAAGACAGGTCCACGGGCCTCACTGGGTGCTTCTGGGGCTCAGCCTCCTCAGTGTGGAGGAGGGAGCTTCTGTGTATGCTGGTTTGTGAGGAAACAGGCCCATCTTGTAATGCTAGATTTTCTTGAGTGGGAAAAGCTGGGATTTTACTGTCTACCAAAAAATCTCTATTTTTATTTCCACCAAGGAGATCCTGTGTGGATTTATCAAAATCAAACATGTCAACGGGAAGCAACCCATCTGTTTCTTCGCCATTATGGAAGCCATCATCTGAACCATTTTCTAACAGGTATGGCAATGTTGAGCACTGCTGGAATTTAGGAGGCTCAGTGTCGATGTTCCGGAAGGCCATAGAACATACCAGTTGGTTCAGTTTTTCCTGAAGTTGTTTCACTTGAGCAATGAGGCTGACTTTATGCAGCTGACAATCTTCTACTTGCTTTTCCTTACCCTGTAAGTGGGGAGAATATGGACAGTGCGAAACAGCAAAATGTAAGGTGCTTTACCCTGCCTAGTGGTGATGGTGAGCTGAATTCAGAGAGCACGTATGGGTGAGGGGCCAGGATGAAGACCTGGTAACCCTCTAGGCACTGAACATTCCAGGTCAGAACCAAGAACTAATGACCCATGCCTAAAAATCTCAGGAGGTTAAAACCTGAGGATCAAAGTTCAAAGCTAGCCAAAGAAGACAAATCCAAGAAACTCTTCTCTCCAATTAGCCATCAAAAGACTGGAAGTGGAGGTATAGCTAAGTGGTGGAGCCCCACTTGGGAGTGAAAAGGCAGCACTGGTGGCCCTGAGTTCAAGTCCTAGAACCTGTGCACATGCACGCACACAAGCACACATGCGCACACAGACAGGAGTTAGTTGTAGCCTCTGTAACAAATGTCTGTTACTTGCCATCTGAGAATCCGGTTCTGCTTGTGGCACCACAGGGTCAGCTCCCCAGCATTATAAACATGGCCCCCTTGGCCCCATGAGGGCAGGAGGGACTGCACAGACTGCACTGCCTCCTGAGTGCTCAGCGGGCACTCAAAACAGACTCACGCATGTTCTTTCACAAAGGCAGCCCAGATCCACATGTTGCTCTTAGCATAGGACTTGGGCACTACAGACTTCAAAACCTACAAACGCTGCCTTTGCCTTCTTGCTAAATCGGAACCCTATAATAATCTAAGGATGGTGAAGTATAACTTTCTTCCCAAGAAAAGTAAAAATACGGGGGGTAGGGGAGATCCTGAGGGTCAAAAAATAATCTGAAGCCTTCAAAGTCATTCTTGCCAGGGACGACAGTCCTGAGCCAGGGTAGAGCATGACTATAGTTCAATCCTAACATGAAAAACACCTGGCTGCTGAGACTGGGAGAAATGTGTCCTTAAATAAAGCATGCAGGAGATCTCAGACAGACAGAAGCATTAGTACGGCAGGGCAAGTAGACTCAGAGAACAAGCAGCTATATGCAGCCCTCAGCAAAGCAAGTCTCTTCTCTGATGTCCACTCCCTTCTACCCCTGCCTCATACTAAGCCCTGGCCTTCTTGGGATGGGCAGGCCTCCCACATTATTCCTGCAACATATATTCACACACACCCTCCCAAGCCTACAGACCTGCAACCCTTCTGGCATCCAGCTGCTGTCATCCATGTTCAAGCACATCTCACTTTTCACCAAGAGCAGCTCTGCTTCCAGCTGCCTCTGGCACACTGTGAGCACCGAGATCATATTTTCTGCTTTGTGGAGACCGGAGTCCTTTGGTGACACCAGTACTTTGGCAGGCTGCACATTGTCCTTGATCAGGAAAAATGATAAGGATGCTTATAAAGCTAGAGCCAGATGCTGCTCAACTATCCCTCAGAGCACTGAAGTACTGGGGCTGCCTATCAACAGAGACATCAGAAGAAACGCACCCTGGCCTCTGCTTACAGCCAACTACTAGGCAGCAAGTACAACAGGCTGAAGACCGAGGTAGGAGAGCCACCTGCAGTGGGATGACCAGAGATTTGGGGGCATCTGGGAATGGATGCTGACAGAGCAGCTAATCCCCAAAGTGTTACTCAAAAGCAAACTGGAATATTTTTTGAAGTAATTCAGTTCTGTTCCAAACTGAGATGAGCTTAGAACAGTTTTCATGGGAAATGCTTATTAAAAGAACCACAAAAAAATAAATTAAAAATAAATAAAAGAACCACAGAGGGAAATCTATGCCAAGTAGCCTTTGCCACTGTACAGTCACCACAGCATTAAAGGAGGAGTCGTTTTAAAAGCTTAACTGACTTAAAATAATCTTTTTTTTTCCTTTTGCTGGTCCTGGGCTTGAACTTTGGGCTAGGCACTGTCCCTGAGCTCCTTTTTGTTCAATGCTAGTACTCTACCATTTGAGCCACAGTGCCACTTTTTTTCCCCCAACTTTTTCTGTGATTAACTGGAGATAAGTCTCAGACTTTCCTGCCCTGGCTGGCTTTGAACCAAGACCCTCAGATCTCAGCCTCCAGAGTAGCCAGGATTACAGGCTAAAATAATAATTTCAAAGCTGTACAAGATAAACCAAGTCTGATTCTCTGGGAATCCCAGAGCAGGTTCAAACTCTTTGCTCTCTTCTCTGCCCTGTCAAGATCGCCCAGTGATGGCAGCATTCCCAATACTCATCACAGAAATCACTGAAGTTAAGAGAGAAAAAGGAAAATACAAGCAATTCAACATCCAGTCTTCATACCCATCCCCATACCCCAGTAGCATGAGCACCCCAGCAGCCCAGTCCATAGGGAGAGAAGCCTACCTGTTCCAACAGGTCATGCTGCTCAGCCTGTGTGTCCATGTGAGCATGTGGGGAGCCGCCAGACACTCCTCCATGGGCCTGATGCTGATCCGGTTCCCCCTGGCAGCCCAGGAGCCGCTGGTACAGCAGCTGCAGCTGGCGGCTGAGACGGGCACACTGTACTTGCAGCTGCTGTAGCTCAGGAGGCTCACCTGGAGCAGCCAGAGGCTGCCGTTCCAGGACACTACTGAAGCGTGTCAAGGCCAGCAGGACAGAACGCAGCTCCACCGAGTGAGCCACTCCCTGCTTGTTCATAGCGTCAATTTCCAAATCTCTCTGCACAATGATTGCTTCCTTTGCCCTCAGGACAGCTTCAAATTCCTGAATTCGGGAGGCCATCACCTCAACCTCAGCCTCCCGGAGGGTCACAATGCGTCCCAGTTCAGCCAGCTGCTGTGTGGCAGCTTCCTCTGCAGCTTGCAGGCGCTGCTGCAAAGCCTCCAGGGCTTGATTGTGCCCCTGTACCTGCTCAGCCAGCACCTGGCTCAAGACTTCCTTGGCTGAGCATGTGGCTTCAAGCTCAGCCTGCAGCGCCTGCCCACCTGGCCCCTTAGACTGGAGGCTAAGCAGCTCACTGTGAAGGCTGTCAGCTGGACAGTCACTGAGTTCATGTACCACAGGCCCCATGAGGGTCAACTCATGCTGCAGCTTCTCAATGACTTCGTGGAGCTGTTCGATTTCTTCTGTTTTGTCCTTCTGTAATCGCTCTTGGTTCTCTTGTAAATTTTCAATAATGGCTTTTAATTCTTCAACCTCAGAGCTTCTGCTGTACCCAATCTAAAGAGAAAGCATGTGTCAGAGAATGTTACTGATATTTTAACAAGAACTGCTTTGAATCTGTAAATGGTAAGAGGAAAAGATAGATGTTTTAACAGTAATAATTTTCCATATCTGAGAACATGAAATGTCTTCTCATTTTGTGTCCTCTTCAAATTCTTTACCAGTGCTCTACAGTTTTCAGTGTAGAGGTCATTCACTTCCATGACCAAACATATTCTTAGATATTTTAGTTTTTATACCTATTATGAATGGAACTACTTTTATGATTTTTTTCTTAGCAATCTTGTCATTAATATATAAAAAGCCACTGATGTTTGGGGTAAATATTATCAAAATACATTATATGCACATATGGAAATATCACAAGTCCCTTTGTATAATACACACATACACACTCACGCTCATTAAAATTTTTCTTTTATTGATGTCAACTAGTTGTAAGGCAAATTCATTTTAACAAGTCTACTTCTTGTTCATAATCACCTCTCAACCATTCTCCCTCCTTCCCCTTCTCCTTCTAAAACTGATCTTATTCCATTTTCACACAGGTATATGTTCTGTCTACATTGGTCCTCCCTCCCCATCTTCATGCTTACACCCCCCACACACTCATGCTTACACCCTAAATAAGAAATGTCTCAACCTCTTGTTGTTTGGGTTTTTTTTTTAACTGTACTTTTTTGTCTTTTCTTTTTTGGTACTGGGGATCGAACCCAGGATGTTGCACTTGCTAGGCAAGCGCTTTGCCACTGAGCTACACCCCAGCCCTGTCTCAACTTCTTAATATTCCTTTTTGTTAAAGTAAATGTTCATTGTTTATTTGGATTTCATCATGGCATCTTACACATGCATATACTATAAGCAGACTAATCACACACACACACACACACACACACACACACACACACCCCTATGTGTGTTTACATACATATTTATATTTTAGGTCTAACTTCTACGTATGAGGGAAAACATGTCCTTTGTTCTTCTGAATTTGCCTTACTTCATTTAATATAATTGTTTCTGGGTCCATCCATTTCCCTGCAAATTACTTTTTTTTTTTTGGGGGGGGGGGTAAGTCATGGGGCCTGAACTCTGGGCCTGGGTGCTGTCCCTCAGCTCTTCAGCTCAAGGCTGGTGCTCTATTACTTGAGCCACAGCACCACTTCTGGTTTTCTGGTGGTTAAATGGAGATAATAAGAGTCTCATGGACTTTCCTGCCCAGGCTGGCTTTGAACCATGATCTTCAGATCTCAGCCTCCTGAGCAGCTAGGATTACAGGCGTGAGCCACCAGTGCCCCGCTCATAATTTCATTCTTTTTATGGCTGAATAATATTTTGTTGTGTATATAACACTTTTTTAAAATCACAGACCTGCTTTATGACCATGTGATACCACTACTGGCTATATAACTAAAGGAGAATAACTCAAGATAATAAAGAAATGCTTGAATACTTAAGTGTATTGCAGCCTTGTTCATAACAGCCAAATGGTGGAATCAACAACAGACTAATGGATATGGGTAAAGAGAATGAAGGTTAGGGTTCTCACACACACATACACACAATGGAAATTACAAAGTCATAAAAATGAAATTATGCCATTTGCGGAACTGATTATCAATGTTGCAATAAGGAGCAGAGCAAAGCTCAGGATAGGGTCACCAGGACTAAAAAGCTATCCCAAGTACACCCCTGCAGCAATGCTCTGCAGGTGTAGCCCCTCTTCTGCTTTGGAAGAAAAGCTCCTGGATACCTTGTGATGCCAGCATTCACAGCATCTGCACAACTGAAGTCTCCACAGCATCTTTTCTGTTTACCTTTAAACTGGCATTTTCCTCTTGAAGTTCTTGGATGCTGACCACAGCAGGATTATTCTGTTCCTCCAGTTTTAAGTTCAGATGTAGTATTTCTTCATTTTTACGTACTAAATCAGCCTTAATATTTTCTAGCTGTTTCTTTAAGTCCAAAACCTTTCATTAAAACAAAAGAAGTTTCAAAAATTATCTAATTACCTACTAATTAACTATCTAGCCAAATAACCTAACATAATTATTTTAATATATATTTTTTATTGTAAAGATACTGTATGGGGCTGGGAAGGTGGCTCAGTGGTAGAGCACTTGCCTTGCATGCATGAGGCCCT